CACACACACACACACACACACACACACACACACACACACACACACTCACTAACACCCACGCACGCACACAGGAAAATAAATAGCAAGGAGATCTGGCCCGATGCAGATGTATGTCATGGTCAGGTCATGTCCATATAAACTGTCAAAGCTTCGCGTCAGCAGTTCATCGTCTGAGCAGCGAAGGGTGCAGCTCTGCGTCATGCTACAGCGCTTCAAACGGCCCCGTCTTCAGCAGCCAGCCAGCTGTCAGAGGACTCTCAGTGCACTTGACAGGCTTCGTGTAAGTATTTTGTCAACATGTAAGTGGCAGAATTAGTCTTCTCACTCTGTGTGTATGTATGTGTGCGTGCGAGTGAGTGAGAAGTGAAAACAGAACAGTGATGAAGGGCAGTCAGCTGCTGCTTAAACCAGACTCTCCCCGATCCTCTCGCCTTCCTTTCTCCTTTGTGTGAGATGAAAAAAAGATCGCTGTCAGCAGGGGGAGAAGGTCCAGGAGAGTAAAACAAATATTGATTCCTAGGTATCTGTTATAGTACCTGCTGGATAAAGCTCTGTGTGTCAGGTCTGGCTGTAGCGCAGATCTCGCAGCCGGGACGAGATGGCTTGTTGATGAAAGTGCACGAGGGACACGCCCACTCTGTCTGCTGAGTACACAAACATGTGGAGTTCATTTAGAGCTCTATCAAAAGTAATGATACTGCTTATCTATAATGTCAGTGCTGTCAAGGTCTTCATTATTCCTTATTAACAAATTCACCATTACTTTTCTTGCTGGGAACTATGGTTTGAAAAATTAGGTAGATTTTGCATTAACTCTTGTCTGTGGGGATTAAGAGCCCAGAGCCCACCAACAGTGACCTATGACTGCATTACAAACAGGTTTACTTTAAGGTTTAATTCACTCCAAGCATAATCTATCCTTTAACTCTTCCCTCCTGGGATGCCTACTAGGGGTAACCCTTGTTTCTCTTTTCTGAACAGAGCAGTTTCTTTCATATTGTAGGCTGGCTTCCAGGACAAAATCACTGGGTCTGTTTATACAGCGTACTAGAGCCAAAACATGTCCTTGTTATTAGGGTGCAGGGGAGTTAATCAAGTTTGGCATTCCTGTGTCCCTGCAATGTTAGAAGCATCATATACTAAACACATACCTGTGTTTTACTCGCTTTGCTTGTATGATCATTCAGCTGCAGCTTCTCAATGTCGAGAACATCTTTGATGTCACCTGGTCTGTCGCTCCCTCCACCTGTACCTGCGGACAACACAATGTTAAACTGGCTGCATCTACATCCAGCTTGAAAGACTTTCACACGCCTACAAAAATCCCAAAATAAAGAATTGTAATTTTTGAATAATATCTTAAGGTTATTTAGCAGCCCCACTCACAAATTCCTGACAGAACATGTATAATTCCTACATTAGGAATTGTTTTCCTGCAGTGTTAATTCAGGTTTGACGACTCTCAAACTGTAGGGATTGTCCGGATTCTTGTATTTTCTCCACATAGCTTCCCCCAAAAGACAGCGAGTAATTAGAATAATTAATCTAATAGCACTTTATGCTCATCAGTATCAGCGGTCATCATGCTTTTCAGGAATTTAGCCGTTACGCAGTCTGGCTTGGATTTCAGCGTAGTACCATCATATCTATTTCCCTTTTCCTCCTGTCATGCTCCTCTATCTGCTCCTCCCAGGGCACCATCGGTTTCACAAATGGGACTCTGTATCTTGGTGCTCGGAAGCACTCGATTTGGTCGATGCCATGTGTGTGGACAGGTGTTTATCCTTCTTGAAACGAAGGTCTATGTTGGTGTTTCGGACACCAACGAAAGACGATAAGACAGGCTGGCAGTTAAAAACTTGGACAGTTAAAGACTGGGTGCAAATCTTCTGCAGTCAGGAACTAATCTGGAAATCACGAGACTTTAATGTGTACACAGGTGACTTTCTACTAGACTTTATGCTTCGTTGACCACAAGTTTGAGACGCAGTAAATCTAAAAGATGATCGAGTCAGCAAACATTGCTCCGGTGTTCGGTCACAGAGTGCTGGCTGCTCGGCGGCAACGCTTCTTCCTCCATGAAGGGTTTCTTTACCTAATGAAATGAAACTAATTATCCAATAACTTCCAACATCCCCCTGATTCAGCAGCAGGAAAGGTTCAGTTTATATCAGTATTATCTCAGCACATCAGTGACAAAAAGCTCTAAAGTACTGAGGATGGTTAAGGTGGCTGCGACTGACTCTGCTAACAAGTGTTGTTGTTAATTAGCAGGACCGCAGCAGTGCACTGCAGATGCAACCGAAACATCATCATCGCAATGTACCTTGAACTCACCCTGGTTGTTGTGGGGAAGCCTTGAAGGGAGGGTGTTGTAACCCCTCCAGTCCTGGGAGGTGGGCCCGTTGCCTGGGGGGAGAGGTGTGGTGAGTAGGGCACTCTCCAGGTCCTGCTGGAACAGCTGGCGGGTAATCCGGGCTTGCCGGGCAGAGATCAAGTATAGGTACGCTGTATCGCCATCCTTCTGCACCCCGTAGGAAGCTAATGACCTCGGCTCGGTGCACAAACACTGACCGATCACCCAGCGCTGGACGCGAGGATGGAAACCGTACTCGAGAAATACCTGAAGAAGAAGAAGAAAGGAGGAGGAAGTCAGTGAGTGCAAATTTATGATCAGCTACATTTCCAGCTGTTGTAACCAGCAGGTTTCTGACCTGTTGCTTGAGTGCAGCCACAGTCATGTAGGGAAACACTTTCACTGTGACGCAACAGGACGAGGAGACATCCTCCACCACCACAGATAAACTGCAACACAGACATGGCACACAGGTAAACCCTGGAAGACACAGCGGTCATAATAATGACCTTGAATAGCCCTGCGCAGCCAAACGTTTCTCCGCCTCCTCACCTGATTTCCCCATCTGCGTAGTTTTTTTCCGACAGCTGTATCGTCAGCGCCGCTTTCTGTCGAGCCAGCGCGGACGCGTGCTGTGAAGCAGCTTGCGTGTCGCCGGCTTCGATTGCCCTGGTGAGCTCCAAACACAGCTCCTCTGAAAAGCACAGCACAGCAATTAAACGTGACATTATTAAACCACACTGTGAGTAAAGAGAGAGAGAGAGAGAGAGAGAAAAAAACCATGGCGACAAACATGGATGCTCACCGCTGAGCGGGAGCGAGGCTGAGCTCCACTGCTCCTTCGCCACTGCCGTGTTGTTCTGTTTGCTGTCTGATTCGTATGTATCCACATTTGCAACTGTCAGAGGAGAGATGGAGAAGTTTGTCACTGAAGTGCTTTACAACGCCTTGAAGTCAACACATACCAAGTTCAGCCGATATCAGTGTTTACACTTGCTGCACCGGGTTGATAAAGGTCCGACGTCTGAGCACGTTTATCACTAAGCAACAAGGCAAAAGCATACAAAGACTAACGCCCTATAACAGTTGACCCAAACCAAACGATACTTTATCTCCTCCAACTAACATGTGTAACGCTGCTTTGATTTGATTCCAGCTTTTACCATTAACCTCAGATAGAAAATATCTAAAGTGCTTTTTCTTTGACTTCTCACAGTGTGAGTTACGTTTCGCAGACACAAATTTTTTTTAGGTGCAATACGTTTACAGTATAACAAGGGTCAGTAATTTGCCCTTATTTATTCAGTTTGTTTATAAAGAGTCTTTTTAACGGTTTAACAAATGGTTTTATTCATCCCCTTTAACCTGAGGTAAACCCTATTTTCACGTTTTTCTGAAAAGAAAAATGTAATAAACAAAAGTATGAGGGGAGAGAGAGACAGGCAAAACGGGTAGAGAAAAAAAATAGATTGTTTATCAGCATGCCGCCACCAGAGGGCGCCTCAGGTTTTATTTCTTTGATGGATTATCAACTTTAAATCAATTCTTTACAAACAAGAGCTCTCAGCGGGCTACACTGAAACTTTAATGTTTTATGATGTTTTTATTACAACATGCTGACGTCAGCATTGTAAATATGGGTATCAAGTGTAGTATATTAATCTTTTTGAGTCATTGTGAAGTTATATAATCTTATATTGAAAAAATGTTTTAAAGAAGGAAAAAAAAAGCTTATGTCCCCCAATGACCAATATATTGCTTTACAGTTTTTTTCTTAATTGGTGTGACCCTAACCTTTGACCTATGACCTTGAAGCATTAAATACTCGAATAGTGTATTTTATCATCTTCACCCACATTATTGGAACCCAACTGAGTGAAATCTTTGGCTTCTGTAAGCTGAAAAAACATTTATTCATGCTCTGTGTGACTTTTGCAAAGCTTTACAGCGTCATTGTGACGTCGCAGGGTCTCCATGCCCTTTCATATGACATATTACGTCATATGTGTTCTTGGATTTATTTTCACGGTCATTTGAAGGTCAAGGTCAAATGCTTAACCAACCTTGGTACTCATGTCCCCCAAGGCCTACTATGTTGTTGCAAAATTTGAAGATGATCCATGAAAGATTGTGGTTAATTTAAAGTTTGTACTGATTTCCACATTTGGTATGACCTTTAACTTGACCTGATTCTGGCATCTACCATCACAGGAAATTTGAAAACGATATCTTGAAAACTCAGGATGCTAGACTGTTAGGAAACAGACCGATTACATACTCTCTCCTTTTGGGTGGAGGCTTGAAAGCATTTTGTTTGTTGAACTGTTACAGCAAAAACTGAGTGCAACACAGTTTAAGACAAAAAGTTTTGCGTCATTGTAAAAAAGAACCAGTAAGAAACGGTTTTGCTGTGTATGCACAAAGTAAGGATGCTGATGCTTTGTGCTTTCAAGTTCATCAAAGCTGATTCAAAATGGACCGTTGCCAGTCAAAACGCAGAAGAGGATCCTTTACTCAGCAGATATTTGGGTGAAAGTTGAACTGAGTTTTCAAATTGAAGCAACACAGCGGAAAAAAATGCGTCACAGGGAACAGAATTGTGAAATACACTTTACGTCCTCTCAAACCACACGTTAACAAATATCTAATTAGTTACAGCAAACATGGCAGAAACTGTGCAACTAAAATCGACTAAAATAGGTTGCTGTTTGCTGGATTTGCTTTAGTAGAATTGTGCAGCAGCTGTGGTTTAAAATCCACAGCTCCATGTTTTTAGGCATGGTCAAGACGACCTGCTGAAGTTGAAGGAGTCAAGTGACTGTATGCTCACTGGCTGCTTTGTTAGCTACACCTTTTTCAACTGCTTGTTAACACGAATCACAGGACAGGACCTCGGCACATTTTGGTATGTAGACATGGTAGAGATGCCCTGCTGAAGTTCAAACAGAGTATCACAACAGGGGAGAAGGGTGATCTTAGTGACCTGGACCTTAAAATCTCAGAACAACAACCAACAAAAGGCCTGGTTTCATTTACTGAGTCTTTAGTCCTAATGTTTACTAAAATGGATTTTTGGAAAGGATGTACAATGTTGTTTAATGAGTGTTACATTTATATTTGACTGATATAAACCATTTTTCATTTTATCGGAAATAAAGAAACAAAATTGTCAAACTGACCTCTGTGTGCCTCTCTTAGTGAAGACATCATCACGGTGGCCCACTCCTCGGCCTCTCGGTCGCAGCGGAAGTTGAAGCGGATGCAGTCGTGAGGCGGAGCAACAAGACGCATCTCATGGCAGCGAGAGGACTTGACCTCATACTGCACAGAGCGCAGGTCAAACTCTGCGATAAACTGCAGGTAAAAACACAAAGTGATGTAAGAAAATTTCTTCCCCATATGTTAGCTGAAGTGTGACAAATGAATCCTAGAGCCAAAAACTCAGTTCCAACACCAACAAGTCAAATCACTTTCATTTGCATCCACCTGACTAATTGCTTAATATGTCAAAAAACACCTCAAACCTGAAAAGCTAACGAATGTTTAGCATATTAAAAAGGAAGACCCTCCTTTGCACTAAACAAGAGCTGAGGGAGGAAAAAAACAAACAGTAGATGCAACAAATGCAAACTGCAGTTCTCTTTGGAGGACTATCACAGTTTAATAGAAAGGAAACAATCCCCTGATACATGGCAAAATGAAGCATGTGAAATCCTCACTTTGACAGAGAAAGACGTGTCATCAGTGAGTGAATTTGGCAGCAGAGATTTCTTTTACACACAATCCGTCTTGGAACATTCACTGTGGCAGTGGGATCTTCAGGGCACAGACAAAAGCCGGGAAGATGAATTTGCCTTCTGCCGGAAGGAATGCATGTACATTGTCTGATATGATAACGCGGGGTGGCTGTCAAGTCTTTGAGCTGAGACAGACGAGCTAAAAGAAGTTGAATCAAGACGTGTTTCGGTAGTCGAGGGGGAAATCTGTCAGAGTGGAGATGCAAAAGCAAATTCAGAGCCTGTCAGAGTTCAGGAAGATGACACACAGTGAATGTGACAAACAAAGGGCAGATCTGGGAGTTAAGTTATGATGTGGCCAGTCAGACACTGTGCAAAGTGAGGTGAGCTTAAGCATGTGTGCCTTTTTTGTTTATTTTATTGCCAGTATTGAGAAGATTAAACTTGTGTTTGTATTGAAATGTCTTTTGCGTGCCACAATCTGCTAATTGATCCTTTGATCGTCAAAAAGTAGTAAAAAAAAGCACAATTATGTGAAGCCAAACAGCTTTAAATGGCTTGCTTTGCCAGATTAATTGTGCAAAAATACACGTTTAGTCTCACAGACTGCTTAGAATTGGTCGGTTTTTAAGCATTTAGTATTTAAGATCAAAGCTTTATTTAAACTGAACAAGTTGCTGTTACTGAAAGAGAGACAATAAAACATAAAAACAAGCAGTAAATTTGAAAAATGACCGTATGTCATGCTCGAGTCTGAATGGTGGCCCTTTGCTGCATGGGCAAAAACTGTCCGAAAAATGTGTCTAAATATCATATCATAGATCTACAGTTTCATATTAGGCTCCATGATTTATTTCATGGTGTCACACGTTACATTTTGCGGCAATACTTTTTAATTATTTGGATGACGGTGTGCAGGCTTGCATAGGTAGCTCTGAACAGCAGCAGGACCATCCGAGACAAATCGAGGAGCTTGCTCCTAAACGAAGGGCTGACACACATAGACAGACACACACACACACACACACACACACAAACACAGCAAATTATGCCAAACACAACAGGTTCAAACGCCACAAACCACGCAAGAACCATGGGAAAGAGTATGGAGACACTTCACGAATGAGAAGCACTAAAGATGCGAGAACTAATCCGACATTAGAAGTTGAAAGTACTACGCTTACATTTGGTGTTTTATACAGCCTGTAAACATTCATTTCTTCTTTCTGCTGCTCCATTTAAGGGCCACCACAGCACATCACCCGCCTCTATCTCACCCTATCCCTACCATCTTCTTCTGTCACATCCGTCATCCACCATACATCCATCAATCTCCTCTATGTTCTTCTTGAGCGTGGCCTCCTAGACTCCCCAATGCTCATCCCTGTCCCATATGTGTACATCCACATCACTGAAAGTGTCCACTGGCCTACAGGAGTAAATAGACTGTAGAGTCCTGGCCTGAAGAGGTAGTTGTGGGCTCTGCGTTGTGCCATCCTCTTAGCCAGAGGTTGTTTGATTGTATAAACCACAGCAATCCTCCTGGCTCTTACTTTTTAATCGGGTCAACCAAAGAACCATCCAACAGTGGACACTCTTAGCTCAACAAAGCTAAAAGCTCAGTGAAAACAGGATAGCAACATCCTTCCATGTATTTCAAAAAACTGGTGGTTGCTTGGAGACTGTACTGTTTTTTGTTTTTCACATTTTGTGACAGATGGTAACTTGTTGCGATTAAATGGTTGCCCAGAGTTCACCTGATAGGATACAAATTTTGTGCAAACAGTCGCAGTCTGACTTGGACCGACTGCGATCCAGGCCTGACTTACGCCTGTCTCTAAAATGATTATTTTCTTTTCTTACCTTTATTCTTATTCATCATTTTAGCCAAACTCAAACACTTTTATATTTTCTGATTATGTTCTGATCAGTATTGTGCATAATTAACTACCTGCAAACTCACAAATTAATCATAATTCTGTGTTTAACCCTTACACTGTTTCTCTTGTTCAAAAGTATAATCTGTTAGTGACACAGTTCTTCATATTATAAAATGTTAAATAACTATCATATCCTGGGGTGCCTGATGTTTCCCACCGCCATCTTCACCATCCCTTTTCCAATATATCCACTTTCCCTCCTCTGCACATGTTCTAACCAACTCAGCCTTGCCTTTCTAACGTTGTCTCCAAACTGCTCAACCTGAGCTGTCCTTCTGTTGTACTCATTTCTAATTCCTGGTCACTTCCAATGAAAATCAAATATATCTTCAACTCTGCCTGCTGTCTTTTTGTTAGAGCCACAGTCAGCAATCTAAATGGAAACAGTGGTAAAGCGCCAAGGTAAATGAACCTCGGTGCTCAGTGTGGTTTTCCTGATAAGCCATGCTGTTATTTTTATCTGTCATTACCAACTCTCCGATCACAGGAGGGCTTGAGCACTAAGGTTAGTCACGCCATTAACTGGCTAACAGAATGACTAAAGCTTCTTCTTCTGCTTAAGCCACTGTTTGAATCATTTGGTGTAGAATACCAGTGAATAAATACAGACTTCCTACAACACACATAATGAGAAATGACTTGCCAGTACAAGGCTGAAATCTGCATGTTTGTTCAGATGACAAGAGGATCGTGGAAATTCCCACCTGCCATTTTGCCATTAAGATTTGGAGAGTTTACCACTATAAAGGACTTCCCCCGTGATGCTGTTATGTCGTGGAAGGGCCGAAAATGAAAACGAAACTAAAAGTTTTAGTAACTACACTACTTCTCCGTTAAAACAACAATGTGAGGCTTTTTAAGACCCCCCTTTTAAAAACATACTGTTTGGTAATAAGCACGACACCGGGGAGGGAGTCTGAAGGCTCTGCTATCAGGCGCTTGATTGTCACAGTGGATCCTAGTGTAAACTGGAGGAAAGAGTTTCTCTTGTTCTGAGATTTGTCGTGCCTCAAATTGAATCCACCAAGGTGCACATGTCGTGCTATCAGATCCGTAAAACTGCGCGTAAAGGCCTTTTGTTAGTTAAGAATATAAATGTCACTTTAAAAAGGCGTTTGTGCACACACACACACACACACACACACACACACACGTTTAGGTTGATAACAAAAGCATTTGTTCTAAACATACAGATGTGTGTGTGTGTCTACGCTTACCACACTGCGGTTTCCGCTCGTATCGCGTAAAGCCAGTCGGAACTCTCCGGCCCGGCTCGGGTCCATGCTGAGCTGCAGGCGCAGAGCCTCGCTGCCCGCTCCGGGGAGGTACAGCGGTCGGATCCCGGAATGGCACACCGAAACACGGACGGACATTAAGACTGTACTGCAGCAGGCGGTAGGTGCAGGGCCGCCGCATGCAGCCTGTGGGGACGAGGCAGGAATCGGGGCTGGTGGAGCCCAGCCGCCCGAGCTGAGAGCCATGTCGCGGACACCACGGACGGGTGAGGCTCGGTACTGCTGCCCGTGTCTTCTGCGGGGTTTAACAGGTCCACCGGTGTTTAAAGAGAGTGCGTTTTATCACGGGGAGGCTCTGGCTGTCTCCGCGCCTCGCAAATTCTTCCATGTCTACCCGAAGCCGAGCGACAGAAAAACAAAACAGGAAGCTGAAGAGTACGACTGTAAATCTTCTCCGTAAAGAAACAGCGACTCCAATTTTAAAACAGCGCAGTATAAGAAAGATTTAAAACACACACTCGGATTAAAAATATTAATCTCTAATCATCTCTAATAAAGAATTATATCTCTAATATTAATCATACTTGCGTTTGGTTTATGTTATTTATATGCACTGTTCAGAAAAAGAAAATGAAAGAAACAGTCATCCCAGTAGGCTATAAGTCATTTAAGCTTCATGGATGGTAAGACATGGATGTTAACACCCTTTACTAACCCCTTATTAATCCCAGAGTTGGGAAATTCATAGTGTTGTAGCAGCATAACAAGGATTGAACCTAGTGCAAAACACATAACTTGTTCCAGTTTCTTTGGTTGGATCTATGAAAAATACCAAACATAACATGGTTTGATAGACAGAAAAAAGAGAGAGAAATATTTTTGTACCAGTAAGGTGATTCCCAAAGAGCTGTTAGTCAAAAACCTGGCATATCTCGAAACTGTGTGGCTAAAAACAATTTAGGAAACTGGACAAATGGAGGAAAAAAGAGCGTCGGGCCTAAAAACTATCTAAAACAGTTGAACAGAATCTGAAAGTTATGCCCTTTTAAAAATAGGAAACAATCCAGCAAAGACCTAATACAGGACCTGAGACATGCATCTGGGCCTTCAGCTAAATTCATACTGTTCACTGAAACCTCATTGGATATGGTCTCAGTGGAGGAGTGGCTGTCAAGAAGCCATTGTTAATGAAGGGAAAGATGTTTTCTCCTCTTTGTGGCTGAGGTATGCCACATTTCACATGAACTGATCTGATGGAGTAATGAATCCAAACTGAAACGTGTAGTTCAAATTATCAACGTATACAGAGAAAATCAGTGAAGATGTACAACAGTGAGTGTCTACAGCCATCTGTAAAACACAGTGGAGGATGTTTTGGGTTTTGTCTGGGGTCTGCATTTCAGCCAGTGGGAATCATGTCAAAATTGATAGAATTATTAATGCAGAACAGTACCACCAGATTTTGATCATCCATGAAACACTATTTCTAAAACATCTGATTTCCAAGGGTTTCGTTTTTCAGCATGGCAGTGATCCCAAATACACTGCCAATGCAGTAAAAGCATACCACACAATGGAGCGCTGACAGTCATGGATTAGCCTGCCAAGAGCCCAGACCTCAACGTTTATTGAAGCAGTGTGGGATCATCTTGACTTAGAACAGAACAAAAAGGAAGCCAACATTCAAAGAAGAGCTTTGGATGTTCTTCAAGAAGGAAGAACTATTCCTTAAGACTACTTAAAGAAATGATCAGAAAGCTTGGCTAAGAGATGTCAGACTGTGCTGAAGAATAAAGGTGGTCAAACCAAATATCAACTTTCAAGCACATTTGAACTATAAAAGCTCAATTTTACCTTGTATTGTGTATTTCCATGTATATTTTCACATTTCAATAAATTGATGCACTTATTTTTTCATTTTGTGAGCAAAATATAAAGAAATGAGGGTGGATCAAAACTTCTGCGTGGTACTGCAAACGTAGGTGAACCTACAAGCACTGATAACCTTGAACAGTAGAGAGGGAGAGTCTTTCTTAGACATTTTCTTCTAAGGAAAGTATTAACCTCCTTCTAACCTTTGTGCCATAATGAAAGCTGTTCAGTGGCACATACCACATGGCACATAAGTTGTTTATTCCTATTTATGGAGATCTAAATAAATACATAAATAAATAAATAAATAAAAACAAATCATAATTATTTGTTTAAAACTTCTCTCTAAATAAGACTGACAGATCGCACACAGAGGCACTAAGAGAAGATACTTTAATGGGCTCTGTCATGCATGGTCATGACCAAAAGTTTATACACAATGCAGAAGTAAAGCATCGAATTGTGCACTGGAGTCAATTCAAGAAGTCTGTCCTTCCAGCACAGGGTCTGTTAATAAGGCACATATTGCCTAATTCTGTGCACATCTGACTAAAAAAACAAGTCCTTTGGTAAATGATTCTTCTCACATCAAGCCGTGAAGGAAGAAAAGCCTCAGCTCACCTCCTCCACACTTCTGTTGGTCTGAACAAAGTAAAGAGGGTTACAGTAATATCTGCGTAGCAGGACATCCATTCAAACATGTGGAACGTGAAGCAGTTAGAGTATGGAGCCCTGGCAAGACGAGCAAACCAGATCAAGGACGAGCTCAGACAGGCAAGAAAAACTATGTTTACACAGAGTTGTAATAAAGGAAGCATAAACCAGAGTTAGTCATGCTGTCTTTGTTGTAATATCTTTAACCTTTGCTTTCAATTCCTCTTCTACAGGGAGTGAGAAAACCCTACAAAGAAGTGATCGATGTCTTCCAGGGTGATTTACACAGGGCAGGAATGAAACCTCTGACATTTGTCAGACAGGTAAACTTGGACCTTTACACACTGTGTAAACTCATTACGTTTCCTTTGAGTAAGGATGTCCGTGTTGCGCTTTTTCACAGGTTCTTACAGCGTGTGTTTACCCGCCGCTTATCAACAGCAGCAATCTGCCACTTGATGTAAGACAGAGGGCCCAGGAGGAGCTGGGGAGATGTGTTGGAGAGAGTGTAGGTGAGGGCAACGTATGCGGTCTAATGACGTGGAAAAAAATGAAAATGCTTGTAGTGCAGGACCCCCAAGGTGGAGTGCATAAACTCCACCTACCACAGTAGTAGTTGTCACACAATAAAGATTGTGTGACAACTACTACTGTGGTTTCGGCCCTTGGCTCCGGACACAGGCACCCTGTCTCGCTGCCACACCTTCCCAGCTAGCTTTCACTGACAAAAAGCAGACACACAGTCAATTGATGCACCTGCGCACCTATTCTCCCCGCCTCAGCACCGCCCCATGAGCTCACTGTGACGTTTTCTCCGCTGCAGCAGGCCAGAGACCACGCCCCCGCCAAAAGGCTTTATCTGCAGTAACCGTGTGGTGGCAGAAATAGCAAAAGACTAAAACCCCCAAAACAGGGCAGATGGCATCAAAACTATCTACAGATACAGATCTAGAGAGCTTCAACTGGTAAAAATGGAACTGGAGAATACCTTTAAGGTTCTTAGGGTTACTACAATCAAACAAGTCAAATCAAACTTTATTGTCAGTTCTGCAATGTACAGGACATACACAGCACTGAAATGCGTTTCGCCCACTGTGTGCAATAGGAAAAAGAATCTAAATTCAATTCAAATCTAAAATAAAATAAAATAGCTGTTTATGTATAAAAAATGAGGTTTGCAAGAATTCTTTTAAAAAAGTTTTTTAATTCATAAAGTTGGGTGAGAATATCTTACTTTCAGTGATTCACTTAAAACAACAGTAACAGGTCTCCACAGATTACAAATAAACTGCGCAGAAATACTGTCATACTCTGGCTTCCATGTTTATCATATACATAAAAGTCTCTATACAGGAAGCATATGTAATAATAGAAGTGTTTAATAAACTATAGGCTCATATAGACAAACATTATAAATACAATGAAATGTATATGTCTTATAAAACATTTTTAAAAAGCCATTTTATGAATTCAAATCTAGGCAGAAATACAAATACAAAAAGTCTGCTTTGTTTTGCCAGATCAAGTTGTAGGTGTGTTTTATAATAATAATAATAATAATAATAATAATAATAATAAT